CATCCTCTGTCCTCACTCCAACTACCTCCATGTCCTTTCCAACTGCATCCATAAATCTCCTCTTTGTCTTTTTCCTGGCAGCTGCATTTCTAACCCTTCTACCAGTATACCCACTGTCCCTCCTCTGGACATGTCCAAACCATCTCAGTCTGGTCTCTCTAACTTTATCTCCCAGTTATTCAACCTGTGCTGTACCTCTGATGATCTCATTCCTAATCTTATCCATCCTTGTCACTCTTAAGGAGAACCTCAACATCTTCATTTCTTTCACTTCCAGTTCTTTCTCCTGTCTTTTTGTCAATGCCACTGTCTCCAGACCATACAACATAGCTGGTCTCACCACTGTCTTTTAAACTTTTCCTTTGACCTTTGCTGACACCATTTTGTTCCAAACCACTCCTGAAACTTTTCTTCATCCACTCCATCCTGCCTGGACTCTCTTCTTCACCTCTTTACCACACTCCTCATTTTCCTGGACAGTGGACCCCAAGTACTTGAAGTCCTGCACCTTTGTGACCTCTGCTCCTTGTAGCCTCATTGTTCCACCGGACTCCCTCTCATTCACACACGTGTACTCTGTCTTACTATGGCGGACTATCTTTCCTCTTCTTTCAAGTGCATACCTCCACATCTCCAAGTTCTCCTCCACCTGTTCCCTGTTTTTACCACAGATCAGTGTCATCTGCAAACATCATAGTCCACGAAGATTCCTGCCTGACCTCATCTGTTAATTGGTCCATCACCAGAGCAAACAAGAGGGGGCTCAGAGCCGATCCTTGATGCACTCCCACCTTCACCTTGAAGCTATCTGTTCCTCCTAATAAAAATATCAAAAAATATAAAGTATAAAACGAGACAGTATATAAGGATCTAAGATATACGCTAAATACTAATAGTGTAAAATAATACAATATTTTAAACAGCAGCCTGAACATGAGTCTGTAGTGAGTAGATGGGTATGAATGAATACATAAGCATGAGATAGAGTGAAGATTTTTGCCTACATTTTTTGCATGTAATCGTCGCATTTAGCTTGTCCATAACAAAGACCATCAGATGACGATGAGGTGCTCTGTTCGTTTCCAACCAGCTGCCTCCTGAACCTAAATGTCACCGTTAATAAAATCCACCAGCAGCTGGACAAGCATGGGTCCGACACAAAAATGGCCAAAACAGGTTTTATGCTCTTTTTTTTTGGTTCAGACGAAAGACTTTCAAGATATTTCATTGGATTAGAATTTGACACTTCAAACCACGTGCGTTTCAAGGTCATTTGTCCTTTTTATGTTTTTGTGGGTTTTTGATTTTGAGCCTGAGATCAAAGATGCATTGAATTTGGACTTGGAAGAGACAGACCCAGATGTTTGTGAAAAGCTTCGGCTAGATAAACGTTCCCCTTCTCCTTTTTGTTTGTAGGTTTTCTCTCTGAGGGTTATCTCTGCTTGTCGGGCTGCTAATATGAGGCGTTTAATGTCCTCAGTGTGTGAGTGTTGGATTAGCTTCCTCCCGCTGTGCAGGATGAGCTGACACATATGGGAGGCCAGTCTGAAACACACACACACACATGCACGCACACACTTATAGTTGTGTGTGCTCTGTGTGTCCACACTGGCTCCAAACCATCAGTCCTAAATCTGTTAAAAACTGAGCTTTAAACCAAGTCAGAACCCTAAAAATTAGCATTTTAAGGCCTGTCCGGTAAATAAAATTACAGATTTAAATGGTTCTCAAAAGGACACATTCACACACATTCAGTCCCTAAGTGGAATTGATTAAAATGTCCTTCAGACCTGATTGATTATACGTTTGGTTTATTCTCTAACTTTATAAACTTTATGTATCCTGAAATAATGACTAACAGCAGTCGGTTTGTTAGTCGTTTCTGTTGTTTTTGTCTAAAGCCAAATTGAGGTGAAACATGAATGCTTTAACAAATAGTTTTACAAAATTGTGTTGTAATATTTTTTTTCCCAAAGCTGAGCATGTGAGCTACCCAAATTATGCTTCTATTGCTTTACTGCTACTGTATTTTTCAGTGTATAAGTCGCTCCAGAGTATAAGTCGCAAAAGTTAAAAACAGGCATCACGAAGAGGAAAAAAACCATATATAAGTCGCTTCGGAGTATAAGTTACGTTTATTATGCGTCACAGCTGACCCCCGGGAAACGTGGGCTGGTGGTGTGCCAAAAATCGATTGGCAGCTGTGGGAGCATGCACGGGAGGACTCGCTGTTGCATTTCTTCGAAATGTAACAAGATTAACACTTAAAAACAATTATTTGTTTGCTCAACATTATAGCAAAGGTGTGTCTCGGTTTAACTTTTTCCTTAATAAATGCACTTTAATGGTCAATAGTTGGCGGGGGGCATGCGTAGCAGTACAGGAACAACATATACGCCTACCGATAGTTGGCCAAAGCCTAAAGGGCTCTCTCGCACCTCTAGCGGCTGCAAATGGTAATGTTTAATCAGGTTCATGTCGGTATGAATGAACATTTAAAAGCATCAGTCAAAAATTGCGTTATATGAAAAAAAAGGTATATAAGTCGCTTTGGCGTATAAGTCGCAGGACTGGCAAATCTATGCAAAAAACTGCGACTTATACGCTGGAATATACGGTAAATCCTTTTTGGCATAATAGTAAAGAAAATGTGACCCAGACTGGTTTCCATGAACTGTTTCAAGCTGTAGTGTTTGTTCAGCAAGTGGCAGACTAATCTAGGTCACATAAAGCAACAAGCAGCGTTTATTACCTCTGCTAAGATAATGTGTTTGTCTGAATGTTTGCTTCTTAGCAATATTATGCAAAATAACTACAAAACTGAATATTTTGGGAGATTTGGAGATTGAGCAAAAGAAAAACTTGATAAACTCTGGTGAAGGTTGAATTCATTATTGTAACAACACTGGTCTTGGAGAATTTATTATAGCTTAATTTGTCTACTCATTGCCCAGTCTACAATAAATAGCAGGTACAATTTGATCCTTTTCTGTTGTTTTGTTTGACTGTTAGCTGTTATAAAGACTTGTCTCCCTATAATAAATTCTAATGTGCAATTCTAATGTGTAAACGGCAACTCTTTGCGGTACAAGTAAGTCGGGGTATTAAAATACTGCAATTGAACAGTTGTAGTGGATGCTTCTGGGGTTTTTTTGGAACAGCTAATGCCATAAAAATAAGCATAAAGAAAAATTAATGTGAAACAAAGTTAACTATCCATCCATCCATTATCTTTACCCGCTTATTCCATTTTGGGTCACGGGGATCGCTGGTGCCCATGTCCAGCAATCACTGTGCGAGGGGCGGGGTACACCCTGGACGGGTCGCAAGTCCATCACAGGGCCACATAGAGACAAACGAGACAAACAACCATTCACTCTCTCATTCACACCTAGGGACAATTTAGAGTTACCAATCAGCCTAACATGCATGTTTTTGGTCTGTGGGAGGAAACCGGAGCACCCGGAGAAAACCCACGCATGCACGGAGAGAACATGCAAACTCCACCCAGAAAGGCCCCTGGACCGGGATTTGAACCAAGGACCTGCTTGCTGAGAGGCAGCAGCTCTACCAGTTGCGCCACCGTGCTGCCTACAAAGTTAACTAACCTTTTGTAAAAAAAGTATTTTAAGTGCAAAACAAGTGTTTCAGTATTATGAGATGTAGGTCAGATCCAGATCACAACCAGTAGCATTGGCTTCTCAACTCACAATATCGATTGGTTTTCTAATTATCTCTCGGATCAGAGACCATGTGTTCAACACAATGGTACTTCTTCCAGTTATTTAGCTGTCAACAATGGCGTACCACAAGGCTCAGTCTTAGGACCTACCCTCTTTACAAACTACATAAGTAAAGGTTAGATCATCCCTGATGCATCCTTACATTTCTATGCCGATGACACGGCTGTTTATTGTCGAGCTAAATCAGTTGCTAAGATTTTCCAGCTTTTACAGTCTGCATTCGACATCATCCAGTCAGATTTGTTCCATCTCAAACTGGTGCGAAATGTTGATGAAATCAAAGAAATGTTGTTTTCAAACAGGAAGTTGGGACCAGCAGTCCTCCCTTCTATCTTATACAAATGGTGTTCCTACCGAGTTTGTCGCTTCTTACAAATACATGAAACCTCGTTCTTTTAAGCCTCATGTCGAAAACTTGATAAAGAAATTGAAATTAAAATTAGGTTTCTCAGGACATCGTTACCTGCAGTGTCCCGTCAGTGCGGACTGAATTTGGCAAAAGGGCCTTCTCTTACTCCGCTCCTGTAACCTGGAACACCTTGCAAAAAGATCTGAAGTTGTCGACTTTGACCTCTCTAAGGGATTTTAAACAATTAAGTTCAATGCAAAAATCAATGCAGACGTTCCTGTTTTTAGTATTTTACCTCGTTTCATAATGTAGATTGATTTTATTTTGCTTTATATCCATCCATCCATTATCTTTACCCGCTTATTCCATTTTGGGTCACGGGGGTTGCTGGTGCCCATGTCCAGCAATCACTGTGCGAGGGGCGGGGTACACCCTGGACGGGTCGCAAGTCCATCACAGGGCCACATAGAGACAAACGAGACAAACAACCATTCACTCTCTCACTCACACCTAGGGACAATTTAGAGTTACCAATCAGCCTAACATGCATGTTTTTGGACTGTGGGAGGAAACCGTAGCACCCGGAGAAAACCCACGCATGCACGGAGAGAACATGCAAACTCCACCCAGAAAGGCCCCTGGACCGGGGTTTGAACCAGGGACCTGCTCGCTGAGAAGCAGCAGCTCTACCAGTTGCGCCACCGTGCTGCCTTGCTTTATATCACTACTTTTAATTACTTTTTATTTCATATGCTTTTTATGACTGTTTATTGTTGTTTGTACCTCATCTGTGGTATTTTTGTTTAAAACAGGTCTCTCTTGAAAATGAGTCCTCGTGACTCAATGAGACTAACCTGTTGAAATAAAGGTTGAATGAAAGTAGCTAAAAACTCTAACGTGTCTTTCAGATTCTGGTAAAGCCGATTCTGTCCGGGCGGTCGATGTGCTGACGGTGCTCAGAGAAAAGGTGGCCTTCGTGTCGGGTAAAACGCAAAATCTCTACTGGACTTTTCATCTTATTTTCATCCTAATACAAGTTTAAGTAATCAGTCTGCGTGATTTCCAGGTGGAAGGGACAAACGAGGCGGACCAATACTGACCTTTCCAGCCAGGACCAATCATGATCGAATAAAACAGGAAGATCTCAGTAGACTGGTTACCTACTTGTCAACTATACCGAGGTAGGACCCATACATGAATACTTTTCATGATTCCTTTACATAAAACCAGGAAGTTTCTGTGAATTTTACAAGCTATTAAACTCACAAAAGCATAAGAGGTTTTCTAAAGTACAGTAGAAGTTTTTGATTTGATGTTTTAATGTAAAAGAGGAGAAAAGGGACCGTAGTTTAAATATTGTTCTTCTTTTCCATCAGTGAGGATGTGCGCGCTCGTGGATTCACCGTGGTTGTGGACATGCGAGGCAGTAAGTGGGACAGCGTGAAGCCGGTGCTGCGAACACTGCAGGAGTCGTTTTCCTCCAACATCCACACAGCGCTGCTCATCAAACCTGACACCTTCTGGCAAAAACACAAGACCAACCTGGGCAGCGCCAAGCTCAGCTTTGAGGTACAACTACCTGAAACAGCACTACACAAAGCTGTTAAATCCTAAACCCTGAGCTAGAAGACAACTGGACTTTCTTCGTTAGTTCTTGAAGATGTTTCACTTAAAATCATTCGAAAGGCTAAGTTTAAGTTGTAACCACAACCAATCACTAGATCTGAAGATGTCTTTCTACGAGCGGAAACATCTTCACGATCTAACAAAAGAAACCCTGTTCAGTTTGAGTACTTACGATTACCATGACCACACCAAGTTCTTTTAGAGTATCTAAGCCTGTTGTTTCTAGACCAGCTTGGTGTCGGTGGAGGGGCTGTCCCGGCTTGTTGACCCTTCCCAGCTCACGGCTGATCTTGGTGGCTCATTGGAGTATGACCATGTGGAATGGACTGAGCTGCGTCTGGGTCTTGAGGAGTTCTCAGGGGCTGCCATGCAGCTGCTGGCTCAGTTGGAGCAGCTGGAGACTGGACTGAACCGCATCCCGGAGCCTCAGGATGTTGACGAGGCCAGAAAGTAATTTTTCTAATTCATTTTTTAGATTTACTGGTCGCTCAACGTAGGCTTGCAAATTAACCTCTGTGGTTTTCTTTAGACTTCTGGAGGAGCATAATCGTCTCCGCAACACCATTGCCACTGCACCAGTCGACACTCTCGACCGAGAAGGGCGGAGCTTGCTTCAGCGCATGCGCTTGGGCCCCTCTCATGGCGATGGCTCTAACGAGGGAGGAGGAAGTGGCGGCACCTGGCTGTCAGGAGGGGCAGACTTCCAGAGCGTGGCACCAAAGGTTTCATCTCTGCTGGACCGGCTGCAGGCAGCTCGCACCCACCTGCTCCAGAGCTGGAGTGACAAGAAGCTGCACTTAGACCAGGCACTGCAGCTGCACCTGTTTGAGCAGGATGCCACCAAGGTGAGTTCATGGAAACCAGAATGGAGCACCTCAGCTCTACAAACTTTATGTTTTGCATCATTTTGCCTAATGGTATTAGAAGTTTTGCATGTCCATATGTAAATGTTGAGTTGCTGTCTAGCCTGTCTGTCTGTCCCCGTCTCAGATGTCAGAGTGGATCGCTCACAGTAAAGAACTCTTCATGCAGAGCGTGACAGAAGTTGGTCAGAACCACCAACACGCTGTCGACCTCCAAACACAACACCAGCACTTTATTGCCAACTGCATGGTCAGCTCCCGCAAACCTGTTTCTTCTTCTGATGGTTTTAACGACCACCATTAACCAGTCTCTGTGCGCCTGTGCAGAACGGCAGCGTGAACGTGGACAGCGTGGTTACCGTGGCAGCAAGACTCGCCGAGGCCGGTCATTATGGCGCAGAGCGGATCGCCATGGTGTCGTCACGTTTACAGGAAGACTGGAAGTCTCTGACGACAGCGCTGGAGGCACGAAGTAACACGCTCGCCATGGCAACCAGCTTCCACCAAGGGGCGGAACAGGTACCTTCTCGTCAAAAACCATCGGTTCCTGCCCAAAATGCTACCGTGCAAAAGCTTTCATCTAGTCATTTTTCATATTTTGCTTCCAATGATCAAAAATGTACTGCAATCTTTTAAAGTGCTCTTGGGCAACAGTTATCTGCCCTTTCTATCCCTAAATGACGGTTAGGGTTAGGTTCATAGGTCAGAGTTAAGTTGCTTAACAAGCATTTCTCTGGAAATATTCAAGCAGATAAGTGTTAAAAGGCTAAAAAATAAAACTCATTGAAAGCAAAGTAAATGAGTAATCACAATAATAAAATCAATAATCCTCATCATCGTAGTGGAACCATTTGGTGATGTTTACTGACATCTGTCTGTCTCTCTGTCCAGTTCCTGTTGCGGGTTGAGGGCTGGGTTAAAATGTGCTCTGAGGGGTCACTGCCGTCTGCAACCGCAGAGCTTGAAGCTGCGGTTAAAAAACACCAAGAGCTCAATGAGGAGATATCCGCCAACTACACACAGGTACGTCCCGGTCCATCATCCCCACCTGTGTCCGCAAAACTGCCTCTTATCAGATTGTTCAGAACATCCCCCTGCTCTTTTGTTCCGCCTGTCCGCAGGTCAGTGAAAGCGGTAAAGCGTTATTGGACGTCCTGCAGCGAAGCTCGCCAAGTGAGTCTGATGAGTCAGCAACCAAACCAGATTTCACCGCCGCCACGCACACAATCATGGGAGTTCTGCACCAGGAGATGCAGGTGAGGCTCGTTCTAACCAGCCTCAGCTCTGAATGCGAGCATCGGACCTCTCAGTCAGACGGAGAAGCAATGGTGTAGTCTACGCGATACACGGGTATACAGAGTATACCCACTAGATAAGCTTAAGAATTTCAGTATACCCACTTAAAAGTGCCCAACGATCATTAGGCATGTGTCATCGATACTTTAAACACTTCTGTAACAATCTATCTGTATGTAGCGCTTGTTTATTACATTCACTTATCCAGAGAATTATTGTATTATTCTGTACTTACTACTTGAACATGTTTTACTTTAATACTGTTTTATAAATTCTATTAACACGTTTTTAATACAAAACCAACTGTTGTACAAAGTTTCTTGTACATTTACTCAAATATACGCATCAGTGAAATTTGGAAATGTTCAATATGCTTAAAAATCATAAATTGTTGATTACATTAAACTAACCAGTGTACTTTGGTTTCTAAGCACAGTATACCCACTAGAAAAATATAGACTATAACACTGGGTAGAAGCTGATGTGGAGTTTCACGTTTCTGTGCAGGGTCACCACGAGGTAGAGGGAGCCTGGCAGCATCGGAAGCTTCGACTACACCAGCGCCTACAGCTTTGTGTGTTTCAACAGGATGTTAGACAGGTATGATGCAATGCTGAGGACCAAAACCTGGATTAAAACTGGGGATGGGGCTGATTCGATCCGGTATCGGTATAGGGCTCCAATACCAGCATTATTTACGTATGGGATTTTTCCAATCCAACCTGCAGAGATTTCCGATCCATGATGCATGTCTGTGTCTGATGAAACTTCTCATGTGATTCCCTGCCAGCTGCTCTGCAAGTTGGCTTGAAACTATGGAATGGATTTCCTGAACGGAGGCGTGTCTCATGAACCCAGAGTAATGAGACCCGCCTCACATTCAGGAAATCCATTCCATAGTTTGCAGCCAGCTACAATGTGCAGTAGCACTGTGGCTAACGGCTAACCAACTTTTCACCTAAACATGTCCGCTGTGTGGAAGTATTTTTACTAGAAACACCACAAAGCAAGACAGCAACGTGCAATGTCTGCAGAGCCATAGCACCACATTAAACCGCGGTAAAGTTAGTTTTACGTTGGGCATTCGAGCTCCGGGGCTTCAGCGGTTCACTCCTCTTGCTCAACCGAAGCAGACAGCACGACCCCGGCCAGACGCACCCAATCCGCCCCGCTCAATTTGCCTGTCTCTGAGGAGGGGCAGACTGAGCGCGGATGACCGAAATCAGACTGCCTGCTTCGGACTGAACAAGAAGAAGACACCGCTGAAGCCCCGGAGCTTGAATGTTTACCGAGAAGTTGCTAAACTTAATTGTAATTAATGACCAACCACTATCAGTTGTAGAAAACAAAGGATTTCGCAGCTTGATACTTGCAGCCAAGATATAGTTTACCTTCCAGGAGATATTTTTGCACAACAGTAGATAATCATAAAAAAACATATGCATTGAAACTTTCAAGAAAATTACAATAAAAAAACGAAACAAAAACAGCTCCATTATAAAGTGATGTAAAATACTAAAAACAGGAAAATGTCTGTTGGTTTATGCCATGAACTTAGCAGGTGTTTAAAGCCATTTAATTAATGATTTATTTATTTAATTCATTAATTTAAAAGAAACAAAATAAAAACATCAAAAAGGAAAAAAAAACATTGAATGTAAAGAGTGCAGAAAGAAGAAAAAATTATTATATCTGCCCCTTATTTAAAAAAAAAACTTTAAACAGTTACTTAAATTAATCACTTTAATATCCACTTTAAAGCTAGGAATAATAAAAAAGACCTTTCTTGTGTTAGAATTTAATTCTAACTTTGAAACTTATACAACATTAATAAAACTTATTTGGACATGCATGCATATATGTGTACAAATTGTACTTGCCTGAAGAGATGAGAATTTTACAGCCACATATAAAATCAATAATGATGATGATATCGTAAAGGTATCGGTATCGGCCGATATCCACATTTGGGGATCGGATCGGGAAAAAAAAAGGTGGATCGGTGAATCCCTAATTAAAACATTAGAGTTTAAAGAAAAACTCAGTTTCAGGTCCTCGTTCAATTCCAAAATAGGATCTAAATTCATACATAGATTCTCATACAAAGACAAATCTCGACTTTATATTAGACTTTTACCGAAACGATTAATCAACTAAAGAAATGTCCGGGTCACAAACGGATTCAAATTCCAAATTCAGATGTATAATCAAAACTGAAGGTAAAATGTACATCCAGACACTTGTTTGGATCCACATTTAGATTATTATGTTGTTCTGCTGTTTCATATTCATATTAAAACCCAAAATCTAATTCTAATCAGGATCAGGACTTTGGTCTTATTTCTTCTTTAAATTTCAAGTTTCAATTCAGATCCAGATTTGTATCAAGATCTAAAGACAAACTGTGATTCTGACCATTATTTATTACAGATGTGTAATATATGAGCTAAAGCCTGATTTTGATCCAGATGCAAAGTTAGAATTTAGATTTAGATTAAGATTCGAAACAATATTTCAGATCCAGATTTAGATATATGTATATCCATTATATTTAGATTTGGGTTTACATACAGTACATTCAAACCTCATTTTTGACATGCATCCAGATTTTTGTCCTAAATCTTTTCCACTCAGATACATATTCAGTGTAATTCAGGATTTTAATCTACATCTAGATTTAGAGTTATACTGATTCATAGTTAAATACAAAAATGACTATGTGGGATTTTAATTTAACATTCATGTCCAGGTGAAAAATCTATTCTGGATCAAGATTTTCAGACTTGTATTCTAATTTAAATACTGTTTAAAACAAAAAAGTCAAGATACAGATTCAAATCTAGATTCTAATTCACACACAAGTTTAGATTGATATACAGATTCAGATACGAGTGATTCTAATAGAAACACACAAAGTAATGTATCCATCTTCAAACTCAGATCCAGATTTAAATTAGGATTTTCCAAAATTTAGATCCAAATTTTAAAATATTGTCTTTAAATTTAGATTCAGATTTTCCTCCTCAGACCGAAGAAGTCTTTTGGATAGAAGACGAAACCTTGCAACAATTGTTATTATTTTTTTTAGAATCCATCCAGAGGACCCGACTTACCTTTGTTAGCTAAATTTTCTTTGATTTTGAGTTACGTTCAGATTTTCCTCCACCCGTCTTCTCTCAGGTTCTGGACTGGGTGGAGCAGCATGGAGAGGTTTTCCTCAACAAACACACCGGTGTGGGGAAGTCTCTGCACCGAGCACGAGCGCTGCAGAAACGACACGACGACTTCCAGCAAGTTGCACAGGTGACGCAAACCGACTTTGAAGTTTTACCTAAAAAAAACAACTTGTTTTTAATGACAGTCATATTGTCACCCAGGATTTAAGAGCTGAGGAATGTTTTTACTGGACATATCTAGATTCAGAACCAGATCTAATGGTGTCCCTGTGTCCAACAAAGTTCAGTCAGGTCATCTGCACGGTTTCTTTTTTTCTTTTTCTTTTTTTAGATGTTTCATCCTTGATCCAAAGGACTTCATCAGTCTGAGGAGCTACAACAAACTTAGTCCCACAAGCAGCGCACCCACATAGTGGACCAACCAGTTTGCTGGTGATAAGATGGTTTCTGGGGCATGCTCTCTACCCCGTCGACTCCTCTGAGGCAGCCATAGTCAAAGTGGTCCAAAATATGAAGGACGAAACGTTTCAACAAAAAAAAAGAAACCATCCAGATGACCTGACTGAACTTTGTTGGATGTTTTACCTGGATTATTGAGCATGAACTTTGATGTTTTGAAACCCTTTGGCTATGTCTGCCTAAGAGGAGTTGACGGGGGAGAGGGTGGGCCCAGAAACCATCTTATCACCAGCAAACTGGTTGGTCCACTATGTGAGTGTGCGGCTTGTGGCACTGAGTTTGTTGTGGCTTCTTGGACTGATGAAGTCCTTTGGATGAAAGATGAAATGTCTCAACAACAAACAAAAAAAAAAAACGTCCAGATGAACTGACTGAACTGTGTTGGATTATTTACCTGGATTATTGAGCATGAACTTTGATGTTTTGAGCCACTTTGGCTATGGCTGCCTAAGAGGAGTTGACGGGGGAGAGAGTGGGCCCCAGAAACCATCTTATCACCAGCAAACTGGTTGGTCCACTATGTGAGTGTGCTGCTTGTGGGACTGAGTTTGTTGTGGCTCCTCGGACTGATGAAGTCCTTTGGATGAAGGCTGAAACGTCTCATCAAAAAAATAAAATAAAAGAAACCGTCTAGATGACCTGACTGAACTTTGTTGGAGGTTTTACCTGGATTATTGAGCATGAACTTTGATGAAGCGTCCCTGTGTGTTTCAGAACACGTACACCAACGCAGAGAAGCTTCTGGAGGCAGCGGATCAGCTGGCTCAGTCTGGAGAGTGCGAGGAGGAGGAGATCTACCAGGCAGCTCGAGACTTGGAGCTCCGCATGCAGGTAACCTGACAGATGGCGGGAGGCTGTCAGCTTGTTTGCACGCCGTGATTCCGTGTTGTTGACAATGTTTACACGCGTTGCAGGCCTTCATCCAGCGGGTCGAGCAGAGGAAGCTGCTGCTGGATCTCGCCGTGTCTTTTTATACACATACAAAGGAGGTAAGAAGCAGTTCACGGGGCCGAATAAATCAGCGCGGTTACCCAGCGGTGACATTTCCGAGCATGTTTCATTTTAAACCCCGGCACAAAGTTTGATCGCCTCCTCTGCCCTTGTCATCCTGGCTCCTCCTCAGCTCGCAGTGTGGATGGAGGGCCTCCAGAAGCAGCTCTCCTCAGACATCCTGGTTTGTCCGGACACCGTGGAGGCTCTGCAGGCTTTAATCAGCCAGCAGCAGCAGCAACAGGCCAACACGCAGGTAGCAGCCCACTCACCACTCACCACTGCTCACCTGAAGTCTAACCGCATCATAACAGCCTAACAGCCCTGACCTTTGACCCCCTAACCTCTAACTAACTAACCCAAGCTCTAACCCTGACCCACAGGAAGCCGCGATGAGTGTCATCAGGGAAGGAGAAGACCTCATCCTTCAACTCAGGTACTCCCACTGAGTGTGGGTACGTTTGTTTACTGCTGCGGCAGAAAGGGTGCGTTTGATTTCTCCTCTGGGGCAGCCAGTTTATGACATGTCTCTGGATTTGTTTCAGGCCTCTAAGCAGCCACGTGTTTAATTTGAATGTTTTCTACATTATATATGAGGTGAGGGTGTGTTTGATTAATAGATCACGTACAACGTACGGGTGAGAAGTTTCTGGATTATGCGGACTGTATATTTTTTCTGGATTAAACTGAATGTGAGGATGATTTTGTTTTCTGAGCTATAGCTGCAGGTCAGCCAACATTTACGGATGAACCGTGTGCATTTATTTTTTAGACTTGACACAATCATTCATTTAGTTTTTAGATTATCTGAAGGCCAGTTTTGAATTGACAGTGTGGCGCTTTTGCTTTATGGATTATTTTGTTTGACATGGATGGATTTTTCCAAATTATGCAGGAGTAAAGGGTGGATTTCTCTTCAGGTTGGTATTTAATATGAATTACGACAAGAAGTCACATCTTTCAAGAGTTTGTAGAATCTGTGGCTGTGACTGAATTGAAAAAATATGACGATTTAGATGGTGTTGTTACTGTATAATCTGGATTATTTAGTCTTTTTCTTGGTTTGGTAGACAGTTTTCACTCATTTGCTTTAGAGATTTTACAAATCGAGTGTTGTTTTCTAGATGATGTAATTTGAGGGCTTCAGTTTCGGGATTGTTTTGGCGTGCCTGATTTTTGTTTTCTCAGTTATAAAGAATTTGTGCAGTCGGGATGCGAATATCTCAAAGACAATGTCTGCATGTTTTTTCTAGATTATGTTATCTGGATCCAATAATTTCCAAGCGTTCTGTATGTGTCATTAAAGGTTCTTCTTAGATTATGGAGAACGTTTGGTACCTTTGTTTTAACGATTGTAGTGTTTCTGCAGTTATCTTTGTTTTCCACGTCATTTAGATTAATTGATGCGTTGCCAGGTTTGGTTGAACGTGTGTGTTTAAGATTATGTACAGGAAGTGACTTTGATGGATGTATGGGTGTTTGTTCTTTAGATTGTTTTCAATGTTTTATTTATATGAACATTTTATTTGTCTTTTTTCTTTCTTTCAAAACTTACATTTTTGGTACATCTGTTTTTATGATTATTGTGTTTTGGGACATGACTTATTTTTTTAACGAATGTTTAGTTTTTTAATGTAGTTATGTTTGTTTATTATTGTTATGTATCAATTAGGGCAAGGGTGGTAGGGTTATATCAAATATATAAAAAAAAAAATTCAGATTGCAGAGGAATTTATATGTATGTTCAGGAAAAGGGTTGTAAGCTCAATCACCCAGGCAGATAACAAAAAAGGTTAAATCGTGTCATCTGGACCAGTTTCTTTAAGTGAGAAACGTTTCATACCCCATCCAAAGGACTTCGTCAGCCTGCCAACCAGCTTTGTCCCTTCACTGCTGTGTTTCAAGCCAACCTCCTTTTAGGCCAGATGGCCAACTTGCTATTCACAGAAACAGCCTGAAGACACCAAGGCCAAAGTGGTTCATAAAAAAAGGTTGTAAGCTAAATCATCCAGGTAGATAACAACAAAAAAGGTTAAATCGTGTCATCTGGACCAGTTTCTTTATGTACTTTCTGTGCGTAGCAAGTTGGCCATCTGGCCTAAAACATTTGATCGTTGTACATGATTGTTTTGGAAGGGCGTGTTTGCACGTGTAAAACGCTTACTTTTGTGGTTCCAACATGCGGTTGGCTTGAAACGCAGCAGTGAAGGCTACCTATGGGACAGATCTGGTTGGCAGGCTGTAGACTGATGAAGTCCTCTGGATGGGGGATGAAATGTTTCTCACTTAAAGAAACTTGTCCAGATGACACGATTTTACCTTTTTTGTCATTTTTAATGTCGATTCTCAGCCATCTTGATTGACTGAAAGGAAGGTAATAAGACCTCAAATTTAAAAAAAGGCATCTAGTTGTTTTCCATTTGAGAATGAAGGATTTTTCTAGATGATGTGTATTTATTATGTTGTGCAAACTGTGTGGGCGCATGAGTTTTATTTAATGCAAAAGGCAAAGGTGACCATTGTTAGATTAAGAACAATATACAGCTGTGTTTTTAGTTTAATGTATAATCTTGAAGTGTATTTGTCATGAGGTTAGCTTTGACGGCAACTTCATATTTGTTTTATGGATCATTTTGAATGTGTGAAAACACTTGGAGTCTATGTAGGGAGATTGGATGCGTCAGTTTTCAGGTTTTGTACAATAAGTTGTCTAAAACCTAGAATATGAAGGGAAAAAAAAGCATGTTAAGCAATGCATTTCTTTTTTAGACAGACATTGCTGACAAGTTAGCACAATTTTTTATTTGTATGTTCTATTGAGGCTTTTCCTTTTCAGGTTGGTGTATAATCTGTGTTCAAGTGTTTGTTTTCAGGTTTGGGATCCTAATTCAGTTAGCTTCTTTGCAAATGTTTGTAACGTGTGAGTGTGTTTGTTTCAGGCCTCAGGGCAGCTCAGTGGCCCACGTGGAGTCAGTCTTACAGCAGCTGGAGGAGTCTCACGCTCAACTTGAGGAACTTTTCCACCAGAAGAAGATCCGACTAGATATCTTCCTACAGTTCCGCATTCTTCATCAGTGCACGTTGGAGGTTAATTTAATTTTACTTTCCCTCTTTTCACTCTGAACTGAATCAAAGCTGAATTCTTTGTTCATTTTTTTTTCTAGGTGACAAGTGAAATAGATGCTTGGAAACAGGATCTCCAAAAACAGTCCCAGGATTTTTCCAGTGAGAAGCTAACATCTCCACGGCTAGCGGAAACAAACCAGGACCAGTTAGCTCAGGACAAACTAGCCCTGGGACAGTCACGCCTAGTGGAGTCTAGCCCCGAGGCACTAACATTAGCACAGCAACGTATTCACAGGTGAACAGGCCGGTGTGCTGAATTTTTGTGAATACAAAAATACTGTTTTGGCAGGCTTTTATTGATGATCTGATTGGTCTGCAGGCACATGGAGCGAAGGCTGGCTATGAACAATATGATCTATGAGGTCATCCAGCAAGGTCATGATCTTCAGCAGTATATGTCAGAGGTTCAGGCATCAGGTAAGAGTCTCACTGTTAAGGCTCCCACAGACTCAGGCAGACAGTGAACCGCAAGGAAACTGTGCGCACTGTCCGCAGATGGTTGAGACTTCATACTCGAGCATACACCCTGAGCAGCTGCAGCATCAGCTCCGCAGGCAAGGAGCGTTTACCTTCAGGACAAATTGAGTTCGCCGATTGGTCATTTGCTGACGCCTACTGGACTGATTGACAGATCGTCAAAGAAAAATACGAGAGCTGGCAGCAAGCGGCAGCGGAGTTCTGTTTTTATATGTTACTAAAAAGTTCTAAAAAATAAAACAAACTGGGAGTGCAGGCCCTGCAGCCCACATATCCAACCCACCGGGAAATCTCCAGACCCTCCCGCAGCCACGCTGGGCCTGATTTTAATTCTCTCATGACAAATTCCTTCATTTCTCACAATTTCAGTCATGGCTTCATCGGACGAGGAGGAAGAGATTGCTTGCCTCTTGGTAAAAGAACAAAAACAAAAGAAAAGGCCATTAAACCAGACCAAGGATAACGAAGAGGAATTTAATACATTGGTGTTTCATACAAAACAGTCCGTCGCTAGGCAGTTTATTGTGCGACACCAAGTACGCGTATGCAGTTGTAAAAATTGATCTTTGCACGGACATGCCTTGTGGGTGTCCACTTCGAGTCTGGTACACGCGGACGTCCGCGGACTGAAATACGCTTGAGATTGTGGGAACCTTTAGTCCAAGAGCTACCACTGCAGCTGGTCTGAAAATAGCACAAAGCTATCTGACAATTAAAGATAAAAAGCAGTTTCTAGATAACAGAACATACAGGTTACTTATCTAAACAGAAAATCAGGGGACCAATGACTGAGCCATGGGGTACACCACAAGATTCCAGAGGAGTTGTTGGAACAGTTTTCAGTGATTAATTTAAAGGTCATGGAGGTAATGGTGATAATATATTTGGCAAAGTGTTTTTAGAGTTCCAAGCACGGCATCAAGAATTTTTAGAACGACTGAAGTGTTTTCTAAGAAAACAACAAAGTTGTTCAAATTTGCAGAGGAGTTCAAGTTGGACTAGAGAGTTGAAGTATTAGGACTTCCCAAGGTTCTGCTTCATTAGGATTTCAAATAAAGATCTTTCAAGGATTTGTACTCTCATTTTTGAGTTACATTAATCTTTGAGTAGTTTCAGGATTCTAAAATAGGTCCAGATGTTCTTAAGGATAGTACAAGGAGTTGTTATGGTTCCAGAAGAAGTCACACGAAGATCATTTGTTGGTTTCAGGTCTCTCTTGTAAATGAGTCCCTGAGCCTCACTGGGACTAATCTGTATAAATAAAGGTTGAATGAATGGTTCTGTTTAGGAAACAAGGAGATACTTTCAGGACTTTATGTGGGTTCCAATAGTCCTTCATTTGTTCATGGTTTCCTCTATTTTTATTTTTTTTTAGGGAGGAGGGTTGTTAATAATTCTAATGATCCTAAAAGAGGTTGTTGGTCAAAGAGAGCTACATAAAATCAGAAACAGAAATGTGATCAGGTGGAGTGTCTTTTGGTTAGATGGATCAAAGTGGATTTCAAGGTAAAGAGCAGAATTTAAACCAGCTGCAGTATAATGATTTAATACTTCAACGTGTACTATAAAAATAAATGTTCTAATGTATTTTTTAACAATCCCCCCCCCCCCCCCCCCCCAGAATATTTAAAAAACAAACAGATTTTTTTTCTCCTACAGTGTAGCATCTATCTGTCCGGTTCAGTAACACACTGATGATATTAGAAGTGGAAATTGGGGTTGGGGGGTGGGGGGCAAAGAGGATAATGGGAGAGGGGGAAAAGGGGACATGGTTGCTATGGAAACTGCTCTCTGAAGCACACAGCTGGTCCCCATGGAAACCAGCGTATTTAATTTGCCATGGCGACACACACAGACGTGAAAAACACACAGAGCAGACACACACATGATCAGTGTTATTGTATCACTTACTTTACGGTGTCTTTTTTGAAGATCTGAAGTGTGGTTTTGTGTGTGTGTGTGTGCACGCCAGGCATCGAGCTTTCAGAAGTGGAGGGGGGTCTCTCTTCCCAGGTGGAGGAGCTGCAGCGCCTCCTGCAGGACAAACAGAAGGAACTGCAGCAGATTGCGGATCACACGCACACACATCTGGAGCAGAACCTGCAGCTGAGACATCTGCAGAGCCAAGTCAAACAGGTACCACCTTCATCCAGGTGGACACACACACACACATGCACACGTAACAGCTCCCAACCTGTCTGTCTGTCTGTCCATCTGTGTCAGGTGTTGGGTTGGATCTCTGAAGGGGAGGTGATGCTGTCATCCTGCATGCTGAATTCCAGCTGTTTGTCTGAAGCTGAGCAGCTGCAGAGGGAGCACGAGCGCCTCCAACAGGCCATAGAGGTCACTGCACACACATTTTACCTGCATTCCATTCAAAACAGTAAAACACAAACAATATTGTACATTAGCACTTTATAGCACAATGTATGCTATAAAAATAATTGTCTGCAAAGTGTAGTAAAAACAGTTTTGCATGTTGTTACACTGAACAATTGATGGCGTCTGGTTTGATTATTTCTTCGGTGCTAAAAAAAGACACAAATGTCCCATTAAAATGAAGCAACAAACACAATGCAATGATGCAGACGATGCATCTTCTTAAAGACATTTTGTTAGAAACAACAGATAAAACTCTAATACAAGACAAACGTCTTTATGTGGATCTTAAAATAAACACAATTATCAGACTAAATCAAACTACAGAACACAAACACACAAAAAACTAAATAAGACTCTTCTTGTAGAAATAAGAATGTTATGATCCTGTCATTGTTAAAAGTTTCATTTTATGCAAGAAAAACAGAATAAATCTCATTGTTTTAGTTTGAAAGTATTTTCCCACACATTAGTTGCTTTTTCTTCTGTATAGCTATATTCAGTAAAAAAAAAAAGTCTGTTTTGGCTGATGTTAAGCCTTTTAAATCAGTTTATTATCAGACAATGCGAGTCTAAATGTGGATTATTAAGCACGTCATGTAAACAGCCTCCTACGATAACTGATAACATCAGAATAAAGAAGGACGTCTTCATCCTGTGGATGAGGCTGATGTCAGTCCATCACAGTAGACGCGTTTCCACAGCAACCAGACACACATGACAGTTTTATCCCCTCAGATTCCTTCAGATGCTATAATAAATATGGAGAATGATGTTTTTTTGTAGGCTTTGCTGCACGCTGACTCCCTGCAGAGGACTCATCAGGTGGCTCTGGCTCTGCAGCAGAGAGCAGAGCTGCTGGTCAGGTAAGTTTCCACCTGATAAATGCAACTATTTGAATATTGAACTCAACAAAGAGCAGAAAAAGCTGAAAAATAGAAACATCATAAAAGTCTATGAAGGGAACCTCGTTAAGTGTTGTCCTAACTACAGCTCTGTGAAGGTTCGGATCTAGCCAGTGAAGACAGGCCAACACCGATGACCTGCTCAGTTTTAGTTATCATTACTTACCATCTAAACCTTTTACGCAAACAGTCAAACCAACCAGAAACAACTGATGGCCCAACATTAGATTGTATTTTTCTTGACTCTATCAATACCAGGTATCTGTTGGATGTAAACTCACCTGTCCTGTGACCTCTGGACTCCCTCAACAGGTCAGGCCACTACGATCCCGACGCAGTTAGGGCTTGTGCCCAGACCGTGGCGCTTCACTGGCAGACGCTGATGTTGAGGATTGAAGACAGACTCAAACTGGTCAATGCATCTGCTGCCTTCTACCGGACATCTCAGCAGGTAAAACCTGGCTCAACCAGCAGCTGGTCAACATAGGGCTTCTCTCTCTCTCTCTCTCTCACACTCACACACACTCACACACACTCACACTCACACTCACACTCACACACACACACACACACACACACACACACACACACACACACACAC